AAGTCACGCAGTTGTCCCTCGGTGTGGGTGATAGTGTTTTGAACTGAACAGTTCAAAACACTACCCCCTCCACCTCGGGCCAACAGTTTGACTGTTCCCAAATCACATATGAAATAACTGTATAATAATACATACTTTACAGTCTTTATGTATGTGAGCTATACAGAATTTAGCTTGTTAAACTACATTATTGACACTTTAATTTTCACATAATTGTGAACCATACATTATTTAGCTTGTTAAACTGCATAAATGACAATTTTCAAGTGAGCTATACAAAATTTAGCTTACTAAACTACATTATTGACAGTTTAGTTTTCACATAATTATGAGAGTCATACAGAATTTAGTTTGTTAAACAGAATTTAGCTTGTTTCAATACATAACTGAGTTTTCACATATATGTGAGCCATATATATAAATTAGCTTGTTAAACTACATAATTGACAGTTCACTTTTCACATAAGTGAGCCATACGGAATTTAGCTTGTTTCAATACATAATTGACAGTTCACTTTTCACATATATGAGCCATACAGAATTTAGCTTGTTAAACTACATAATTGACAGTTTAGTTTTCACATATGTGAGCCATACAGAATTTAGCTTGTTTAATACATAATTGACAGTTTTCACATTTAACAGCTATACAGAATTAAGCTTGCTTCAATACATAATTGACAGTTTTCACATAATTTATATGAACCATACAGAATTAAGCAATATTTCAATATGTAATGTACAGTGTTCACATTCAGGCTGTATAAACATTAGTTATAATCTATGATAGAGATATTGCAAGCTGATTGGATGATATAGATATAAAATCACACATGGTCTCCTGAAGGTGAACCCAAGTTAACTTGTAATCTCACTGGTTGATTTGATCGTTCTCCAAGGCCAAGGTCACCGCTCAGATCTTCTCTATATTTTGGAAACTGGAAACAGAAAGTGAACATTACTAAAATATGAATTATTATTATCATAGGAAAAAATATAGTTATCTTTACTACAGTGCATGTGTAATCACATGCATGAAATTCACATAAAACTCAAAATATATTTATTGAGATTAATATTTTCAAAGAATCCATACTTATTTGAAACTTGACATTTGAATTATAACCAGTACTTTGGTAAGTATTTAAGAGTCACACCTGAGTATGTATCAAACTGAGGTTTATAAGCATTTAGTTCAGTATTTATGATGGGCAACAACCAAAATTTCATATAATTCTCATTTAGTTAAAACTGTTTCCACAAAAATTACCATTTCTTTGTCAATATTCTCTTCATGTAAAGTTTTTTTTTTTGTCTACTTTTAGTTCTAAAAATGGATAATCTGATATTTATAAAGATTCATAATAAAAGGTTTAATGGGTATCTACTAGCTACAAAAAGCATGTTATAAAGAGGGTGGCAGGATTTTGTAACTAAGGTAGGGGGGTGTGGCTATGTTAGTAGAATACTTGGAAGTGGTCAGTTTTTATCTACATGTATCTACTGATTAATAGTTAAAACAATCTTAGTGCTCGCCAATTTTTTTAAGCCAATCACCGACGAGGATTTTTCAAATTTTCAGGTTATAAATCTTAATAGAACAGATTTTATATAAACTGGACTTTTTATATTATAAAACGCAAGTGGGCGGAGCACTAAGCCAGTAAGAGTGCATATTGGATGTTCTTCGTAAATAAGAAAGCTACAGTCGCTTCGCAAGCTCAGCTCCTTTTTAGCTTTCTTATTTACGAAGAAAACCCAATATGCACTCTAACCTATACATAACATGGGTAAAAGTGATCGACAATAAAAATTCTACAAAAATAGCCAATTCATTTAACAAAATGTAAAGAATTGCAGATAAACAAATGCTTTCTTGTGAAATGTAATGAAGTTTATCTTGAAGATGTATTAATATTAGTTCAACAATTAAAAGTTCTTTATTAGCTAATGCAGTCAGCAGCAGAAAAATATGCAAAAATTTTGTATGATCTCATAATTATGACTACTAACTTTAAAGCCGCATATCTCCAGATTTATTTTCATTTCCATGAAATTTTTTAAAACATATTAAAAAGTAAAATATTGTCAAAAGTACAGAATATACAAAAATAGCCTTTACTTTGTTAGTCAGGCAGTAGAAATATTGTGATGAATACTGCAAGATTCAGTTATTTTTGCATAAACACATGTAAATTATTTCTTAAATTGTGGATATTTTTACCTGTTTTTTTACAAACTTTTATATGTGGCTCATCTGAAGGCATGCAACTTTAAAAGCTGAAGTAAAACCCCCATTTTGGTTCTATCAATTTTGTATAAATTACCTCAATTCATTTTATTTACTCTTTAGGGTACTAGAAAAAAGTAAAACTGACTGACACACTATTGAGTCACCATGGATACCTCCAATATAGTCTGCATATAGTTCAGCTTATTCAACTACTAATTTACCTAATTATTAAAATAAGAACATTTCTGTAATTCTCCAACCTGAAACTAATCGTTGTTTTAAAGATCTCTTTCAACGTACGAAAAGTACTTTTTACACAGGTTTTTGGGGCAGTGCACTGAGGTTCAGAATGAACTAATTGTGTCGGCATGATCTATAAGTACATTATGAGTGCACCGGCCAGTTAAAGCAAAGGTTAATCCAAAATAGTACTTTATTTGATTTGTTATTCATAATCGTTTCATAAGTTTGGTCCATTCCTGAAAAATGACGAGACAAATGTACAGGTATGTGACGTTTGTCACATCTTTGACATCAGACGCTGTAAAATATAATGGCTTTAAAATGAATAATTTAGAAATTAGACAAAGTTATGCCCCTTGGATTACATATTAATGCATTTTAAAATTATTTTTTACCGAACTCTGTTGAAACTGAAAACCTAAACAACGATTTTCTGTAAAACGTATTAACATATCCAAATGAATATTGTTTGTTTTTTTGTTATCAGTTATTATATACATGTAGTGAAAAGATATAAAAGAATCAATTTTATCCATTTTTAATATAAACGTATAAAACCTCCAGAATTTCTTCAAAGGTCTAATGTGCAGCTTCCACTTTCAAGAATATCAAGATGAAAATTTGAGCCGCCTCACGACAAAACCAACATAATGGGTTTGCGACCAGCATGGATCCAGACCAGCCTGCACATCCGCGCAATGCTGGTTGCAACCCCATTATGTTGGTTTTGTCGTGACGCGGCTCATTTATAGTTGGACAGCCAACAGTATTATATGAATTAAGCCAGAACAGACTGCATGGATGTGTATTACCTGCCTATTCTGTGGCTCTACATTTGTGGCTTTAGTTCAAACAACTGAGTGCATGAATGATGTTATTTGTATATTGAGAAGATATCAAATGATACATTTTACTGGTTTCTTTTTACACTTTTGTGTTGTTTTTTGTTCTTGTTTTTTTTCTTCTAATTTTTTTTCTCATTTACTTTTTCTCATTTTTTTTTCTCATTTTGTTTCCAATATGGCTTTAAACATTAATAGACTATTTTGTACCAGTTCCTTAAAAAAAACTTAAAAGTAAAACATTACTTTTTTTAAAGTTTATATTCTTTACAAGCAACTGTAACACTTGTATATATAATCCATATAGTATATCTGTAAAGCAAGCTATATATGGTCACAGCAATTAATTAATCTACCACTAAATAGCCTATAAAATATAAAAAGCCCACCTTTAAAAAGGTTTTACATTTTTTATAGAAACTGGATGTAAAGGAAGAATACAAAGAAACCATATGTCAACACCGGATATATGTGAACAAAATTTTAATAAAGATCTACCGGTTTCGAACCTATCTGGTTCTTCATCATTTTTCATAGAAGAACAATATAATTGTATCATTATGCTAACTCTACTGTTGGGCAAGCTAAGTTAATTGTATATGTGCTATAAAAGACAGAGAGACAGATATCTAAACCTACAAAAAGCATTATACACCAAAATTTTAAGTAGGAATTGATAACCACAGTAACATTAAGGTACAAAAGAATGATTTCTTACATATATCATGTTACCTTTGAAATTGTTTATAAGTACCCAATTATACACAAAAATACCTCATTACTATGCTAAATAAGTGTTCCTAAAAATGTTTAAGAAGATGAATATCAAACTAAAATGTAACCACATCTACAGTCCTAAACTTATTATCTTGAAATGTTAGTTCTTGAGAAATCAGTGATAATTATGTAATGGAACAATAAGTTGATCTCAATAAAAAAACTAGAGCAGCCATAAACCCAATATCTCTACACACCCAATATTTGTGAAGGTCCATTTATCTTTATTTTTTAGGGTGAACATTTGAGCAATGTGACCTTGACCATTAAGCAACTCAGCGGTAGCATGGGTTTTGCATATCACATTTTTAATGTGAATATTAGAGCGGAGAATGAAAATGTATGATCTTCAAGAGGTTAAGAATTTATAGAATTGTAAATGTGACCTTGACATTTGACCTGTAAATGTTACCTTGACCAGGCACAGTGGCAGTATGGGGACAGCACATAATGGTCATACACTGATAGTTGCGATGAACATTTCATTAAAGTTTGAGGAAAATCATTCAAATGTATAGGATTTAAAGTGATACAAAACTGTTTGACATTTGACCTTCAAAGGTGACCATGACAGACTGACTGTGACCTTCCAATAGACTGGCAATGACATACTGATTCTCGTAAAGCTGCCATTAGTAAAATAAAGCATACAATAATCACACCACACATGTTTATATAACAAGCACTGTTAATACAAAGTTCACTACATTTTGTTCACTGAACTCCTTATGTAATAAAATGATCATAATAGACCTTTTAATATGATTTCTACTGTAAAAAAACAACAGAATCTTGTTTCATGCCAATATTTAATAACGCCTTAAAATAGAACCTAATTCGACTTAATCAGCTCAAAAATTGCAATAACTTGCTAATTAATGAAATTCAACATCTGCATTGAATGGTATCAAAATGAACTAGAACTGCCACTATCATGGCGTGAATACCCCCGCATACCACTTTGTCAGAATCAACAGTGGCCATTTAGAGCTCAAGCTGCCAAATCTGAGGTTACTAAGCCAGTGCATTGCTAAGTTATGTATTCTACATGCTTCAAATGTGAAAATGTCAAAATCAATACACTGCGGACAGGACATTCTTTAGCAATTGAGAAGAAAAGCTTTTTTTTTGTCAAGGTCCCTGTGACCTTGACCCAGTGACCTCAAAATTAATAGGGGTCACCTTATAGTCATGATCAACATCCATGCCAAATATGAAGACTGTGGGTCAAAGGAATCTTAAGTTAATGGGTGGACAAACTTTTTGAAGTCAAAGTCCCTATGACCTTGACCTTTGATCCAGTGACCTCAAAATCAAAAGGGGTCATCTACTAATCATGATCAACATCCATGCCAAATATGAAGACTGTGGGTCAAAGGAATCTAAAGTTATTGGGCAGACAAACTTTTTGAAGTCAAAGTCCCTGTGACATTGACCTTTGACCTGGTGACCTCAAAATCAATAGGGGTCATCTACTAATCATGACTAACCTCCATTCCAAATATGAAGACTGTGGGTCAAAGGAATCTTAAGTTATAGGGCGGACAAGCTTTTGAAGTCAAGGCCCCTGTGATCTTGACCTTTGACCTGGTGACCATAAAGTCAATAGGGGTCATCTTCTAATCATGACTAACCTCCATGCCAAATATGAAGACTATGGGTCAAAGGAATCTTAAGTTATTGGGCGGACAAGCTTTTTGAAGTCAAGGCCACTGTGACCTTGACCTTTGACCTGGTGACCTCAAAGTCAATAGGGGTCATCTACTAATCATGACTAACCTCAATGCCAAATATGAAGACTGTGGGTCAAAGGAATCTTAAGTTATTGGGCGGACAAGCTTTTTGAAGTCAAGGCCCTGTGACCTTGACCTTTGACCTGGTGACCTCAAAATCAATAGGGGTCATCTACTAATCATGACTAACCTCAATGCCAAATAGGAAGACTATGGGTCAAAGGAATCTTAAGTTATTGGCCGGACAAGCTTTGTGAAGTCAAGGCCCCTGTGACCTTGACCTTTGACCTGGTGACCTCAAAATCAATAGGGGTCATCTACTAATCATGACTAATCTCCATGCCAAATATGAAGACTGTGGGTCAAAGGAATCTTAAGTTATTGGGCGGACAAGCTTTTTGAAGTCAAGGCCCCTGTTACCTTGACCTTTGACCTGGTGACCTCAAAATCAATAGGGGTCATCTACTAATCATGACTAACCTCCATGCCAAATATGACGACTGTAGGTCAAAGGAATCTTAAGTTATTGGGCGGATAAGCTTTTTAAAGTCAAGGCCCCTGTGACTTTGACCTTTGACCTAGTGACCTCAAAATCAATAGGGGTCATCTACTAATCATGACTAACCTCCATGCCAAATATTAAGACTAAGGGTCAAAGGAATCTTAAGTTATTGGGCGGACAAGAAAAAACCGACGGACGGACGGACGGACAAGCTGATTCCAGTATACCCCCCTTACAACTTTGTTGTGCGGGGGATATAATAACCAATGTATAAAGAGACAAACAATCATGTTTGAAAAAAAGGAAAATCATGGATCCTGCACCAAAAATATAATACTAATTACAATATTGCTTTGGGTTTTGTTTTTTGTTGTTTTTCTTTTTCTTGTTTTTTTGTGTTTTATTTCATAATGGCCAAATAATCATCCAATATTAAAGGAGTGCTGTGAACAAAAGCTAATACTACAGTAAAGTAACCCATGGCATAGAAAACCACCTTACAACATCTCACCTTAGACAGCATGTAGTTCTACCTAATATAACAAAGTTACCAATTATAAATATAAACAAAACAATAAAATAATGTCTGACAAAATATCTACTATAGATAAAAAAATTTGAGGCAAAGCAGAAATGATGCATTAAATGGCCTGCAATGGTGAATTGTTAAGAAATAAACATCACAATACAGTTCATTATGGTTATAAACTTGTTGATATTTAAACAAAAAAATAGCTAGGTGAATTATAGTTGGATTAGTCAAATTACTATATTGTTGGAAAATTTCCATTATACAGTTGATTCCATTTTTCGTCTTTTATTGTTGCCAACACTTTATAGCCTGGCCTCATTAGGCTATAAATATAAAATCTGTTTCCTTAAATCAAGCTTGAATCTAAGGATTTTCATTAGTCAATTCACATTTTGTGCCTGTTTCTGACCAATCAAATTCCTGAGATCTGAATTTGAGATTATAATATTGCTTTATTATAAACCTCAGCCCCTGGTCAGATCATTTATACAGCCATGCTGAGACCAGCTTGGCTGTTACAAAACTGGTGGTAATTGAAACATTAGCATTCAAAGAGTTAAATTCTTTGATTACTTAAAAACCAATTTATAGCACACTGCTTTACCTCAAAACATATATAAATATAACATAAATACAATAAACATGTGTAGCGCGTACATTAAACAAGTATCTACATATAAATAAGTTCACAAAAAAAAATGAAATACAATAATAAACATGGAAAATAGGGAAAGACAATTGTTCTGTAATACTTATCTAAAGAACTTAAATATAAAACTCATTTATAAACCTATCCCTGAATTCTCTTACAGATTGCTTGAATACTTAGCCATATCATATACGGTATTGA